CCCCCCCCCCCCTCCACCGTTCGATCCGTTTTGGATCTCACGCCGGAGAGTTTTGGGGTGTTTTAGGTCAACGGTGGGGGGGCGATATTATGCATGATATCTGGGGGACCTCTTGTGATGGGTTTACCCTACCTCTTCACTGTCTGTCGTCGCGTGCTCGTCCTTTGTACCTTTTTTTTGTTTGCCCGCCTCTTCGAATCAGCCAGGGGACAAGGTGCGCATCCTCCCCTGCTTCCACCGGTTTCACGTGAGCGAGATCGACGACTGGTTGAACCGGGACGTTTGCTGCCCGCTTTGCCATCTGGACATCAGCAAGGCTGTCACAGGGTGAGACGAATGAGTGAGTGTGTCGGGGGGGGCAAGGGGAGTCTTCGCTGAAATAAAATGACCCCGCGCCCCCTGAGGCAGTCAATGAAACGCGTCGGGGAAGGGCTCTGGGAATGTTTAGGGGATACCAACACGTGGTCATCTTATCCAGCATTGTCCAGAGTAGGAGTACACGCTCTCTGTTTGCCTGGCTGGCACTTAATTTCAATTTGTTTCAAAGTAAGAAGTACTTTCACATTTTTTCAGAATAACTGTTATACCCCCGGTGTGTCCTTGCCCGCCCCCGTATGTACCTCAGATCTGTTCATATTCGTGTATCTACTTAAGAGCGTTTTTCCAATCTGCCCTTCCGATCGTCCCTTGGTTTGTTCACTCGACCCCCGATGCCAGCTCTTCCAGCGTGGCGTTCGTTAGCGTCATTGAGGGAAACCCTCGACCCGTCATCGAGCGGACGAGAAGGAGATAGACTTGGCTTGACGAAACGAGTGCATCGTCGCGCATCGTCTCGCATCACGGTTAGCTCGCGGCAGACAGAAATAGGACATGATACTATTGGGACATGGCATGCGGGCGGGCGTCAACTCCCCACTTATGCGGGCTGCGCGGAGGGAGCTAGCAGCCCTTTCGAAGCCTCTTATGAACGGTCTGACTGGCTTAGCTTACTGCCGAAAGGGGCTGGCGCAGCATGGTGTCACGCCTCCTTGTCCTCCTGCGGGCAAACCCGGAGGAGGACATGAGGCGTAACGGGCGGTCACATTGCTATCTTAACCAGGGTGCGCTATCGGGTTGTCTTTTGGTGGATCCCTCTGGGGAGACCTTGGACGAGAGCGGCACGCCTTGTTGTTGGCGAAAATTGGAACAGTTCCTGGATTTGATGTCTGTTTTTTGCTTATTTCTCTTTGCTGGTTCTGCTTTATTCTCTTATTATGTTTTGCTGCGATTTGGAGGGGTTTACAGATTGCTAAGAACCCCACGTTTTGCGCATGGCTCTCGCGTCTTGTCTTATTTCCTCTCCGGGGTAACCCATGAAAAAATGCGACTACGTACGCATATACAAGAGTTATAGGGTGGGATTCTTAACTGAATACCTACTCTTGTATACCATCATCAGCAGATAGTAATAGTGGTCAAGCACTCCCTTTGTTTTCGCATGAAGGTTTTTACCCCCTCACAGGTTGTCGAGTGGTGGCACGTGAGGCTTTCGCCATGCGTTAGTGTTGCTGGCTGAATAACGCTCCCCGTTCGCGTTTTTGCCGCCTCTGTTTTCAAAAAAGGTGCAGGTCCAGGAAGCGTTTTCTCCGCGATGGTTATTTACGTAGTACTTATCGCAGTGTTTTTTTCATGCTTTTTCGGAACCGAGGGTATCTTGGCCGTTTAGGCGACAACCTTTGTGTTGTTTTTTTGCGGTGTTTGATCATGCCCCTACCGCGGCCATTTCTCTCTCCCCTTACTACAATAGTATATATATTGAAGTATGCCCCGGCCTTGTGGTACTGACGGCATTGACGGGAACGATGCTCGCGTCTGACCTGTGCGCGGGAAAGGAAGTAGAACGCCATGTTCGTTGTCATTGGCTACGGTGAGATAGCAATAATATTGAGACTGGAGCATGGGATCTTATTACGATATTCAACTGAAACTGCAGTGTAGAACTTACTGTAGGGTTGAGAGTGAATTGAGCAGTACATTGTAGTACCCTGCAGAAAAAGCGGCCACGCGACCGGACGCTGCGGCTCGCGGATGTGCGGGCACCCACGGCCCTGTTGTAAGTAGGTCTAGGTGTTCCCGCTTGAGACAGGCGTGTTTGTGAGGTTGTTAGAGGAGCTCCTAACAGCCGTGGTCGTCTGTCCCTCTGTCTGCGTTGGTCGGTGGAAGATGTGGTATGTGGAGAGGTTTTAAGGGTGTGTATGGCTGGTCATTTTGCTTGCATGGTCACGCACAGCTACCTCTCGTGCCACAGTTTGAGCGATGTCGACTTTTCAGTGGGGGTGCCGCTATCCTAACGGGTGTTGTAAATTGTGGCACGCTCCAGTTCCCCTTTCGTCCCGTCGTATCATTCTTGTAGAGGTCGGCGTGGTGGGTAACCGGTCGTGAATGAGGGTATATGTTGCCACCAAACTGAACGGACAGGTAGCAGGTCGAGGGAACGAGGTCACGGATGGCCGCATGACTAGACACCTTTTTAGTCGGGTGGTGTAGCGACAGAGAGACTGACGCGCTTTCTTTGCATCTATGATACTTGCACGCTTTTTTTGCTGAGTGTACATTGGATGTGCCTTCCTTAGAGTGCAGCGGTATTTCTCTGGATACACATGAGCGCCCATAGCTCTCGGCCAGTAGCGTTGTGAACATTTGCTGGCGTGCAGCGGAGGGGGGCATATTTTTATGAGCACCAACATAAGGCGAGACTGCCGTACCTTGGTTGAAGTTTGTTGTGGGGTTGACATTGGTTGAATTTTTTTTTTCATCGTGAGAAGTCATTGTTGTGGTGTATGCTTTTTCGGAGTGGAGGGTTCCAGGTGCCTGTGCACATGAAATATATCGGTTGCATCATCTCTCTGTATCGCCCATGCGGTGTAGGTGTTGTCTACGGCCGGAGTTTAGTGTTTACATGTTCGTTTATGGACACCTGAGACCCTTGCTTCTTTGTATACATAAGAGGGGTCAACGGCACGTGTTGCTCACTAGGCAGGAATCGCATCGTGCACCAGCGGATGTGTGTGTGTGCTTTTATTATTAGCATCGACCGCGCTAACCGGCTGACCAATGAAAAGACGTCAGTCTCAGTGTGTGTGTGTGATAGCCTGCCTGCTCTCTGCTCATTTACCAGGGGGAGCAGTACTCTTGCTACTTGTGTTGGAATCTCTGTGCGGTGCATGGAAAATGTGTGTGTATGTGTGTTGTGTCCCGATAAGGTGTCGATAAGGTGTCAGGTTTTAGGGCAGTGGTCCTTGCTCCGCAGGAACATGCTTATTGTGGCCAATGATGAGGAGAAGCAACAACGTCCCGCGTAAACGAGAACATGAACTGCATGTGATCCGTTTCTCTTTTTTTTTTTTTTTTGCTGCTCGGTTTTTTTCGGAAACGCGGTTGGAGTGCTGTGGCCCAACCCACAATATCTTCTGTGGTTTCCAAGTTTGCAAGACGTGGCAAATTATGCTCGGCGCTCACGAAGCTTGTTGCTGTTTCTCGCAGGAAGGCATCTTGCTCCTAGCTAGACAGCAGCAGAACACGGTGTTTCATTCAGAAGTCTAGCAGCCGTGATCGATCCCATAACCCCTTTTCAGGGCATCGCCGCTAAACCTGATTGGCAGTCATTTAGCAGCATGAGTACTGAGGCTCTCAACCGTGCCACGAGATTTTGGAACCGCTGTTCAGAGGGCATCCCGCTAAACAAGAACGGAACTAGAGTAACCGCTAAACCGGGACCACGACTATTGTAGGTCCTGCCACCAGCTCTCTGTACTTCCTCCTGGGAACATTTATCCGATTTGGGCCCGGACTGCAGGTCGCAATTGAGACTTGAGACTTCATTCTCTTCGAGAGCACCCCACCGTGCTTCTTCTAACAGAGTTTCTGTACTCATGTTTGAGTCATGGCAATTGCTGTACCACCGAAAACGACGATTCGCCAGTGCTTTAGTTGTACGGGTCGAGGCTCGTTTCGCGCGGCGTACATGTATGTTTCTTTTTTTTTATGCTTTTCCACGTTTCTACTTCATCATCCAACGGATACAAAATGAAAAATCCTTCTCGCAAAACACAAAATACAAGTGGTAACCCTTCTCTTCTCATTTCTACAAGGTGGGCAACGGACTATATCGAACGGAGAGAGTCGCGGTCAGCACATTATAGCACACACAACGTATCGAGCAGGCAACAACACATCATTGCAAAATAGATGCCCTCCACAGCAGTACACAACAACAACAAAACAGAAGAACGAATTATCAATACGAGAGATTATCAGCGAAGTAACAAACAGGACGGAAATCTGTTTCTGCGCACCATGTGTGGTGCCGCGTTCTATGATACTCTCTTAAACTATTACCAGTATAATGGGAACAAGACGCAGAGTACATGCAAGTGCGTTTTCTTGGTAGGCATGGATTGTACACTGTATCAGTGCATTCACGAAAGCTCCGTCGACGATGTCGCATGAGGAAACCACAAACGGTACCACATTAATGTGGAAGCTTACGACAACCCACATAACAAGCGCTTTTTCTGTCCGGCAAGCAACAATACGCGTAAAATGATGCAAAACAGAGGATTGACGACCAACACCGGTACAAACAATCGCAGGGCGAGACTCCGTACGGTCCCAAACGAACGCACAGCAACAAATATTTGTGTTTTCTCCCCGCTCTTCTTGGTAATGTCTACAACGTGCTTGAAGTTACGATAGACTGGTGAGATCTCAGTCTTCCACCTCGACGGGCCAAGTCAGGCACTCCGGCCGGCAAAGCTTGAAGCGGGAGCTCTTGTTGAGGCATTCGTCGATCGTGCTGCGAGACACGGCGATCACGTGCTGGCCCTTCCAGTACCGGATTAGGTTGAGGGACTGCAGGGTGCTGATGATGTCCTCGGTCTTGATGGCCGTCATGTTGCTGATCAGCCGGATCGACAGCTCTCCCTTGTAGTCCCTCAGAATGTTCATCAGCACGTAGGTCCAGTAGCTGCCACGATATCGTGTAGGGTCGTGGGTGCGCCGCGCGTCGTCGAGATCGGCACCGGAAAACAAAAAAAGCAGGAACGACGTCAGAGGAAATAAAAAAAAAACACGTGCGAAGAACCATGTACCGAGGAAGCAGTACAGCAGGAAGTACATGAACCGGGGAGGGGGCGGGAATGTTGGACGCCACTCTCAACGATTCAACACTGCTGTGATATTGCCATCGAATCATGTTCACACTTTCATCATTTACCTGCGGTAGCTGAGCTTGCCCAGGTCCGACAGCGGCTTCTCCGGAGACCCCACCATGTGCTCCCGCTTGCTCAGCTCGTAGGAGAGCGAGATGAGCAGCTTGCCGTAGCCCTTGCGCTGGAACGGGGGGAATGTAAGGATGCACGCCAGGTTGTACTCCTCGGGAGAGGACTTGGGAAGCCAGCGGGACGGCAAGACCGGCAACAGGGGAAGGAAGGGAGAAGGAAAAGACGGTCAGCGGCAAACCGCGGCGTTAGCGGACAAACGTTGTAGCCAGGATCTCGAAGAAAAATATCCAAAACAACTCCAGTGGGACAGCAGAACGACTCGGCAAATGCGACAACGCCAGAGAGAATGCACGCAGGAAAACGTCAGCTTCGCCTCGAAAAGGCTGTGCATACGCATACTACTTCGAACGAAGAATATTATAGTCTCCTGTCGACATGGTTCTTCTCAGGTAAGACGACAATTTTGGGATACTGGTACTCGGGTGGTGCACGGGGTTCAGCTACAATCTGAGCAGCATTTTGAGTACACACACAATTTTGCAGCACACCGACCGCGCTGTCTCACGCGACATCATGGCGAAGCAAAACCAACCGGGAAAACGCCATTTGCATGGAGAACACAGGCGCGTGCTCACGGCGGAAATGAAAATATTAGTAGCACTTCGGTGGAGCCAATGAACGCTCAACAGGTGGGTCCAGCAGAAACCAAAATGCGTATGCTTAGATAGATCAACCCATGCAAGCCTACCCCTCCCCCGGTGCCCTCAAGAGCCAGCAGCAGCAGCAGCAGCTGCAGTGGTTTTACAAAACTACAGCACCTTCTCCTTGGAGAAGTACCCCACGATGTGCGCGCCCGCGTCGTCCACCTCGCACAGCACGTAGAACAGGAAAGGGTCCACGTCGTAGTAAAGGGTCTTGTGGTCCAAGAACAGCTTCGACAGCAGGCACAGGTTCTGGCAGTAGACCTTGTTCGTCTTGCCATCGACCTCGTACACCGACACGCCGCACCCTTGGCCGCCCTCGGCGGTCTCTCGGTAGATCTCGTCCCCGGGAGGGTGCCTGCGTGTCGGGGAACACCGCGGGAGGGCAAGGCAACAACAACAACAGGACACGAGTGATCCCACCACGTTGCCGGAAAGGTCGGAAGGAGAAGAAATAAGGACGGATCAATTCACACACGTGGACCGTCCCTTCGGCGGTCTCACCAAATATGCCGTCCCCGGACCAAGGGGGGGGGGTGTACTCATGGGGGGGGCTGCGAAAGAAATCAAACGGACAAGAGTAGTAGGACCTCAAGGGTCATACGGCCCCCAAACAAGCACCAAGAAAGTGTCATGTTTGAAACACCGCCTACGTCACGTCCAACGTCAGTGCTTCGCGGCATTTCCCCTCCAAGCGGACCCCAACCCAAGAGTTCATACGGTACTGTGTTTCTGGAATTACAGAACTTTGTGGCAGAGATTTATCCACCCGATACAGGTCTCAAAGGGGATGTGTTCAATCAAGCCTTCCTTGACCCCGATCTTGTAACTGCGCCTACCGGAGACTGGGACTAATTGAGTCTGTCTATGAATTCAGCATGAGCAACAAGACTTTGCCGAATCTGATCGGGACCTAAAGTAGGACGCATGTGTAGCAGCCAAAAAATGGACGAACCTGTGACCACCGGAATCGACAACGTGAAGAGTTAGACTAGTACGGACAGATGAAGGTACTGGGTAGAAAGATCAGAACGGTTTTTAATGCGAAGACAACAACAACGACGACAACAACAACACATGCCACAGCATACTACTGGAGTTCGGGTTTCCGTATTCCCCCTTGTAGTATACAGTACCTCATGGTACACTTTTGCCGGTGCCGGGTGAGCGTCGACTCCTTTCTCATGTACTTGAGGCAGAACTCGCACACGAAAAGCTGCAGCACGTACATTGTAGCCGAACGGAAACAAGTTCCCAGAAGAGAGAGCAAATGGCAAGGGACAGGGGACAGGGGACAGGCTGAAGGCACGCGACACAGGCACAAGTGGTTGCTACAGCGTCAAGACAGGACCGAGACAAGACGAGACGTACTGAGACGTTACTACCAAGGACGGCATATGAAAAAAAACTAGAGGAGGCAGGCTGTGTCGGGGAGCCCGCCATCTTATTCGTGGAAAGAATGCAGTCAACAAGCGATAGAGATTTTTTTTTTCTCCCATCATTGGATTCTGTCGTCTGCCCCTCTGGCCCCTATCCTCCACTTCTACCAGCTAGACGACCCACCCGGGGTCACATAGGAGGGGGGGGTTGGACCCCTTCCTGCGGTTCCTGCCTGAGATATTTTTATCGCGAGAAGGGTAAAGCAATTCCTTCCCTCGCGACTTATGAAGTCGATCGAGTTTACTAACAACGAGCTTTGCAGCGCGTCGCTTCCAACGGAGACCAGGACTTTATTAGCGAGAAAACTCACTCTGTCGGGACTCGAACCCATGACCTGACCCTTGGAGTTTTTTTGGGGGGGAATACATCCACTTCTGTCGGTATTGGATTCGTCACTGAGCCACAACCAACAAGCCTCCGTGCGCCTCGAAATGAGGTCGCATTTTTTCGATCGAGAGGAATCTTCTATCATCAATCTTTATGTCGACCGGACGCACCTTGTCCAGCTTGCTGTAATCGTCGGGGTAGGGGCTGAAGTACCACGTCTCAACCTCGAACTTGCCCAAAAGCACGCTCTGCACGTTCTTCACCTGCCAGGGGCAAGGAGGAAAACAAATGACAAACGCAATAGCAGTCAGCGAACACAAATGAAGCAACACGAAGAAAGAAAGCTCAATGAGCAAGGCATGCCAATTTCACGAAAAGGTAGGCCCCATAAAATGAGGATGAAAGCGGGATAATTGCGTCCAACCCGCGGAAAAGCTCTCAACTAGAGAAAAACGAACAACGAGGGATGGACATGCTCGGCAGCGCGGTTTCGAAGCCAGCGAAGTACCGTATATTACACAAGATAACACACCCCCTGGACCGATTTTCAAAGCTCGATCACTCCACGACGGAGAGGATGTATAAACGAAACGATACATTATCGAAAAGCTCTTGACGAGACGGTTTCAACGCCCCCGTTTTCGGCGCTGTGACTGTTCCTGCAGTTGAGAAATCGAGCTTCGAAAATTGGTCAAGGTGGTGTGTTATCTTGTGTCATATACGGTATCTGCCAGGTGGGGGTGCGACACGCCACATACTTTTCTTGCGCCGTACATTGTGACTTGCCCACCTTGGTAATCTCTTCGTGCTCCTTCTCCAACATGGCGATGTTGGCGTCCAACCCCTCTCTGTCGCCGCCCCCCCCGTGCCCGCTTTTTGAGCCCATTTCATCGTACTTTCCTGCAAAAAAAAAAAAAACGACGGTAGCAAAAGAGCGCGGCGTGATTTGTAATTTCACGTCAAGCAACAACATCGAAGCGTTGCGATGATTCAACAACAACATTCCTGACGACGTTGCCCGCTGATTCGCTGATTGTTCCAGGTAAGAACAATCTATTCGCGATACTATTAGAGCGGCAAGCAACATCTTAATAGCGGGAATGCAAACGCGGGCAGAAAAAGAGTCGCTCCCCTGAGCGGGCGAAGAACAAGAAATAGGGCGTGGAACAAGCTCATTCCCGCGGAAGCACCACCCATTTGCTTTTCGATCCATCCACGCATTAACTCTACGTGACGCTCGAATGCAGGCCTAGCTTCGACCGTAAGACGAGGCACAAAGGAAGGAGGACTTTGCCCGCTAAAAGATAGCCTACGCACACGCTCCATGCCAACTGAGAGGTAACGTCCACGCCTTGACCATCAATGAACCCATCAAGTGTACAGTATGGCACAAAAACACCAGTTCCTACACGCAAGAGGTGCCGAAAACCGGGCATCGGTAAAACAAGTACAACGAAAACAATAGATTGGAGATGACAACTGGCCGTGAAGTCTACATGCAGCTCATCGTGATCAACTGCATCAGACCAAGTAGGATTAAGTTGCAGGCTGTAAACTACGCGTACGGCTCTTGGCAATGCAAAGGAAACGACGTCACGTTGTCGCATCATGCGAGGACGGCGGGTCAATCGATCAACTGAGGCACCCCGTGCACAACAATCTTAGTGAGCTAATAGGTCTGAAAGCAAAATCCGCTGGCGTGAACACCGGAAAACAAACGGACCCTTCGCTTCAAACCTGATAGCCCAAGGCGCAAAAAACGAACCTACCGCACTCGATGATTTTATGTTTGATGTTCTTGGCGAGATAAAACCAGCAGTGGAAGAGAACACGCCCCCGACAAAGACCCCTTCCCCTCGCCTTCCGGGCCTTGCCCATCCGTCATACTGCAATCGACAGCACATCACCGTCCTGGGTTCTGACAAGACAAGCAAAGCTTGCTCACGTTTCATCCTTGTCGTCACCCGTCGCTTGTCCCCGTTATGGTGCGCCACCGCTCTCTGCTGCCCCGCCGCCAGGTCGACGCGCTCCATCCCGACCCACTCGTCCAATCTCCGGTCGAAGTCCACATAGTGCACGTAAACAGCCCCTCCACCTCCTGCACTGCTAGACCCGCTGGGCTCACCTCCAGCCGCCGCGGCCTTTGGAGCTGCCTTATCTTTATCCGTAGATCCAGCCTTGGCAGCGGCGGAGGCCGTGGCGGCGTCCGAGCTTCCCTCCGCCTTCCTGATCTCGACGATCTCGGCGAGGTGCACCGTACCGTCGCGCCACGCTACCTTCCACCTTTGCCCTACCTGAATTTTCATGTTCAACGTTAGTATCTTTGTTGCCATCGACGACATGAATGATACGCGTGGGCCTGGCGGTGCCATGCATTCGTTTTCGAGCAAACAGGTGCCGCGTGTATGTTATGTGCAGGTCGAAATAGTTCATACTATTCAAGTAGGCGCAGCAACCACAGCAGTGTTGTTCCTAAATCTTCAAGCTCGCGGGACAGTGGGGAAGTCAAGGCCTGTGCAGCCAACGATATCCAGAGTACACTCGGTCTCCTCGTAGTAGACAGCTGAGACAGCACCACAGAAGAGCGGCGATTGTTGTCCATTTTCTTGCTCAACGCTCCGGATCGGAGCGCTCTCCGGTGGCGGCTTCGAGCGACGACAGCGTGGACAGGTGATCAGATTTGTCAATATATGTACACAATGGTTCTATTTCCGGCAGGTGTGTTGCTAAATCTTCATTGCACCATGGTAGTCATTGCGCGACAGTTTCGCCGCTTGTGGTTGTCGAAATCGTATGTACGAAGTATGACACAAGACAACACACCCACATAAGTATTACAACACTGCCCTCAACACAACACCACACCTAGTGGTGATGATTTGAAGGGTCAACATGACCCCACAACACAATTCTAGACTTGCATCAAGCAATAAGGGCTGCAAAAAAATACCACCCACATCAAAAACACATCCGGAGGTGACAATTACATACTAAACAGGTTATCAACGTGGTGTGTGTGGGGGGTGTTGTCTCAAGTAGCAAAAACAACTTGGTGCTCTGGAACGCTGGTGCGAAACAGCGGTCCTTTCTTCCGCTGGCGTTGATTAAAAACATGAACGAGGTATGTCAACCTAGTCTATCGTTCTTGATAATTGGCAATGGAACGTGCTGGAAGCACACCTCATGACAAGTTTGAGTTTCCAACGATACAGCAGTAGACTGGCCCACCACACTGCTGTTGTAAACTAAACGTAAATGATTTAGAGAAGATACGTACTGGGAGGAGTGATACGTACGAATGCTCGAGTTCTTGTGCGTACAAACGGAGAGGGATGTCTAGTGCTAACGATTCATGCTGACACCTCGGGTCAACCTACACTTGCGCATGGCCAACGGGAAATCAACAACGTTAGTTCGCGACAGGGGAGAACGACATCGCTTCAAATGGGCGGTGGAATCACTTGCCTGGGGGATTACTTCTTCATTCTCCGTCTTGGAGGCGCCGCCCTCCACCAGCACCTCCAGTGATGACGGGTTCGTTGTCGAAGTCCTTTGAGGCATGCTTTTTGTTCGCGACACCCTGCTTTATAAGGGTGCGTGCGGTGTGGATCGGCGCCCCTCACAGCGCGCGCGCCGTGTAGCTGCGCGTGCCGCGCTTTGATTTCGCGGAGCCCCATTTTTTTTTGTTTTTACAGTCTAGTCACTTGCTTGGTGCCGTGAGCACTGCGCAGGGCTGTGCCGGGTGGCGTGTGTGTCTCTCTCGTGATCTTCTTCTCTTGAAGCGTAGATCACCCTGAATGAACGACTTGTGCGCGGATAAAGCTGCGACATGAGAACAGAGCCTTCTGCAATCCTGCTGTAGCAATTGAGAAGGTGAAAAGTTTCAATTTGAAAAGCAGCTGTGATCATGAAACAAAACAGGCGCGGCCGTGGCGCCCACGGCGGCAGCAGCAGCGTCGTCGTCCCCGGCTACTTCGGCGAGGTACGGATGCTGTTGCAGCTGGCGACGGCCTTTTTCCTTGCTCAGGTGGCGAGATCCTTCGTTGCAGAAGTTCCGGGAATGTGGCCACGTCGTTCAAGTACCTGCACCAGAGGCAGCACCACCAGCGCCTGCCCTTGCGACAACCGCCAGGCGAGCAGAAAGGTCAGGTGGAGCCTTGAGGCCGTTTACGGCGTCCAGCACGAGCGTAGTGGCAGCAGCAACAGTACCAAGCGTCCATGGTCATCCCGGGGAGTAGGAACGAGGTTGTGGGTCGCCGGCAAAGAGCAGAGGCAGGGCGTTGCTGCTGCAAGCGCAAGAAGCACCATTGCGGATAACACCACACGAGCGACAGGATCAACCAGCAGCAGCAGCAGCAGCAGCAGCAGCAGCAGCAGCAGCAGCAGCAGCGACGAGGTGAAGCCGCCCGTGCTGCCGGTGGTCGGAGACATCACGCGAGTCAACATGGACGCGTTGCGAGTGCGGTCTCTCTCTGGGGAGGGCGATGAGGAAACCTCCGGTAGCTTCGTCGACCTATTTCGGGGCTGCGCGCCGTACATTCGGGCTCACCTCGGGGCAATAATGGTGATCCACATGGGCGGTGAGGTGGTCGAGGATCCCAACTTTACGAGCATCATGGACGATTTGGGGCTGCTGAGGCTGTTGGGGGTGAGAGGGGAAGCCTTTTGTACCGCTAAGGGCGTTGCGTGCTCTTGCTTGCTTTGTTCCTTGTGGCTGTCGTGTTCTCCCGCATGTCCTCAAACGTGAGTACTACAAAAGTAAGATCAACCCCGTTGTCGGGGCGCTGATGACAGAGCGATACAGAGGTGTGTTGGCACGTCGTGTCCCTGCATGGCGAGTATTGAGGCAGCGTTTTAGTTTTGGCGTTGAAAACGGGTGAACCCGGCTTGGGGTGCGAAAACGAGTGCCAAATTCCAGTTGAGACGCTGCCTGGTTTCAGGCGGAGGTCGGTAGACACGGTAGTCACGCTTGCGGGTGGAATGAATATTATGTACATAAGCCTGCAGCGACAGGTGTTGCGACTGCTCCAAACGAAGTCGCCAGAGTGTGACCGTCCGTGCCTTCGGCGAGATCCAACAGACCCGGACCTTTTCACTCGAATCGTGCACAAAGACTCTTACAGAATGAAAGGTGCCCCCACCATCCAAACTGCGCCCGCATCACTCGTCCATCTCCCTCTGTTCCGTCTGCGTACCCAACTGCTATGGAGTTGACCTCTGACAATCGCTCCACCTCTTGCGGCACGACGCGACGTTGCACCGCGACCATTCCAAAAACGGGGGGATGATACTCGAAGGCGAGGCTCGTCATCGTCACAGGGGCACGACCGCAGATGTCCACGCTGCTGCAGCAAGCCGGCATCAAGGAGGAGTTCAGAGATAACCTACGGGTCACAAGCAAGGAGGCCTTGAAGGTGCGACGAACCACACGGTACGGTTTTCGCCGTCCTTGTCGACTTGACGGTAAACAACCTGAGTTTTATTCGACATGTGTGCCTGATGGCCACCATCTCCAGTACTTCTCGGGCTTTTCATTATGCTGAGAAAACCATCATTATCGTCGCGTGTCGGGCCTCTCTGGTTGTGTTGAGGAGCAGGTTATCAAAGCCGCCGCCGGCTTTGTCCGCATCGAGGTGGAGAGCGCTCTCAGCCGGGGGGCACGAGGAGGCACCGCGGGCGACTTTCACGTGGCGGGGGGTAACTTCTTCTCGGCACAGCCAGTGGGGGTAAGGGATGGGGTGGATTATGGATGCACCGGGGAGGTGCGCAAGGTGGAAGCTGACAGGATCAGGGCCCAGCTGAACGAAGGGGGGGTGGTTCACTTGTCGTGCATAGGCTACAGCGGGAGTGGGGAGGTGAGAAGCAAGAGAAGCCTGCGAAGCGGCTTGCGAGCCCTTTGACGAACGGTGCTCTTGCAGCCAGCAAAGTGCTGGTGTTTGTGTACCGCAAGCACACGTGTCTTTTGTGCTATTTGTGCCCAGCACGACCATGTGCCCAGAACGACCAACAGGAGCGTTGTTGTAGACGGTTTTGTCTGATAAATCCATCGCATATCTAAATGCAAATCAATGGAATATTAGTATCTGTACAGTATCGCCTGTTCTTTGCCCCGACGAAACATAAGTTTTTTTTGCGCCTCCCTGCTAACCACGTCCCCCCCTCGGTGTTTGCCATCGGGGTTGGGTTTTCTTCGCTTGGCAACGACGTTGTAAAACAAACCAACTCACTTCGTGAACTCGGAAACCAGGTTACCGTTTTTTTTGTTTCCTCTGTTTTTTTTTGGCGGGAACCGTAAGGGTGGTCGAGTAGATCATGTTGCGCGGGGTCGAGAACCCTCACTCCGCGCAAGGGGGATGATCGCACCACGTTGTGTTAAATTGGTCAAGCATACTCGAGCCAGTTACAAAGTGCTTATAACTGTCTCTGGAAGTACAAGCACCAAAAAATAAATTAAGTCATACGCAGCTGTCATCCGTACGCAAGTTAGTAAGCACAAGATGCCGAACACCCTCAGCACGATGCAGCGCACCCTTCATGCGACTCGCCGAACACCTCACGGCGCNACTCGAGCCAGTTACAAAGTGCTTATAACTGTCTCTGGAAGTACAAGCACCAAAAAATAAATTAAGTCATACGCAGCTGTCATCCGTACGCAAGTTAGTAAGCACAAGATGCCGAACACCCTCAGCACGATGCAGCGCACCCTTCATGCGACTCGCCGAACACCTCACGGCGCTCCGCGCTTGGTGATGTGAGAGCCTGGTCCGGTGAGAACCCGGCGTGCTCCGTCCCGGCTTTGTAGGGATGCGAGGTCAATGGTCTAACGAATACGGCATGCACGACTATGAGTACACCCCGCCCTGCTGACCACGGTGCTTTCCGCCACCACTGGGGGCTGTGCCTGTCGTGCTTGTCGTCAACCTTAGGTGTTCAACGTCAACACCGTCGACCTTGCTGCCAAGTGCGCGGCCTCAGTCGGCGCGAGCAAGCTCATCTACATCGCCGATGGCTACCTCGAAGACGCGACGACAGGTCCGTCTGCAGCAATCTACCCTAGGTTCGGGTAAAAAGTGGCACGGGACTGAACTACCTCGCCCTCGACATGATTTATTCTCGCAAGGGTGGTTGGCTCCTTTACATGTGGGAGGGGCTGCGGTCGCCCTTGGCTACCAAGGAGTCTTGCAGGCCTTGGTGTGGAAGAAAGCATTTGACGTTTTCGAAGGCAACAATGTCCACGTTCATTCTTTGTTTCTGATGCGTCGTGCAGCGTGTTTTCGTTCACAAGACGTTTCCGCCGTTGTTGTTGGCCCTCAGGCCTCTCCGTTCCGCCGCAACTCTTCGCGACGTACCGATTTTTTCCATCAATCGACCACATGTACCATCAACCGACCAACGAACAACGCCCACGCAGGCGAGATCATCAAGAGCATGCGCCTGAGTGAAGCGAGGTCGTTGCTCTCCCGCTACGAAAAAAAAAAGAGCAATAATGGGAAAGCTGTTGCTGCCGGCAGCGGCGCCGGCGCTGTGGCCGCCGTCGATCTTGACAAGGACTTGCCGCCGGCGGAAGTGGAGATGGCCGACGGAGTTTCTGCGGATAAAGAGGCGGCGGTGGGGCGGGGCGGTGCTAGAGATGTGCACGGAGTGGAGCAGCGGTTGATGAGACTCACTGAGAGGGCCGTTATGGCGCTGACCCAGGTATGGTTTTATGGTGCTTTGACTTTTGCAGGTTTCTTTATGGCGCTGACCCAGGCATGGTTTTATGGTGCTTTGACTTTTGCAGATTTCAAGTTTCTCTATTGCGTCTTGGATCTATCCTCTTGTGTTAGATCAAGCGAAGACTAGCATCATGCTGGGGTAGGCAACGTTTGCATCAGACGATCAGGACGGCGTGTTATCTCGAAGATGTTGGGTGCTGCGTTGTACCCCGTAATGAACTTCGCACCCTCGCAAAGCGCGTCTGATACTGTGCACACTCCCCTTGCTTTTTCGTGTGCAGAAACATCCACGTTGCCCCTCTCCCCCCCCCCCCCCCNNCCCCCCCCCCCCCCCCTCCGTTTTAACGCCCTGTCCCTTACTCCTGCCAACTCGAACTGATATCACCCGGTGTGATTGGTTTCATTCTCCAGGGCGTGTCGAGAGCGCACGTTGTTCCCCCCACATCGGGGGCGCTTCTGCAGGAGCTGTACACCAGGGATGGCGCCGGCCTCCTTATCTCGAGAGACATGTGAGTATTTTCTTGCTCGCGACAGCATGCTCTCGGAATCTGATGACCACCGAGTGGGGGATGATCGTCATCTCATGCCCTCCAGCCAGTTAGGATCGTGCACAGTCTTGCCCTGCGGGGGTCGTGATGGCAGACGCAATCTCGCTCGGTCTGCTTTGATGCAATTCAATGTGTGTCGTATCATACGTATCTCGTCTTGGTACAGGAGCATCTCGTCTTGGTACATCATATCAACGAACGCCACGACAGGCGTGTTTTTCACTTTAAGCCTGCACCCCTTCCTCACTCAAACCGGCCATTGCCTCCGCCGCCTCCGCCGCCGCCCCTCCCCCGCTCTCTCCGTTCCTCCTTGGCACCCCCAAAAAACTCCCCGACTCGGTGTCAATCCGCGGTTCGCGTGGTGGTTGCGACCATTTGCGGACGGCGCTTATTGCTCCTTTATGTGTCGCCTATCTGGAGCAGCTACGACGGCATCCGGCCCGCCAATCCTATGGACATTCCAGGAATAAGGGAGATAATCGTTCCGTTGGAGAAAAAAGGGTACGTTGCGCTTCAACCGGCTTCTTCACGTCCCTTGGCCCCCTGCCGCTGACCCTCCGCCTGTGTGTGTGTGTGTGTGTATGTGTGTTTTTTTTTGGGGGGGTATAGCCCAGGTTGGATCGCGACCGCCATTTGCCTTGCCTGCGTGTTGCGACAGGACATTAGCTGTCCGTAGACTAGGACGCTTGCTAGATGCTGCTGCCATTGACAAAAGCACGGGGTCACAGGTGACACGAGAGGGCTTCCTCACCTAGTGGCACCTCTTCTCTGGCCCCGACCTCGGTGTGCTGCTCCCATTCCGTGTGTGCTTTATATTATCCGCCCGTCTTTTGTTTGCGAGTAGACAAGTGATACTTGAGCAATGAGACCTTCTGATCGCCTTAACGTTGGAGTCTCCCGCTTGACACGAAGGCACGGTGTTCTGCGCCTCTCGTCTCCCTTTACACTACTCATGTAACATGGGATTTTTGCAACAACAGGATTCTGGTGCCGAGGACGCCAGAGCAACTAGAGGCCGACATCAATGAATTCTTCGTCATCACCAGGTAAGCGGATAGATAAGAACAAACAAAAGGCGCAGGTGACTATAATCTACCTTCGCGTGCACTTTGTTCTGGCTGTGTCAGATTGTTGTATTACTTTCTTACCGGTGGCGATGTCAGGTACGCTTTAACGACTACCGCGAGGCGCACTTCTTACCTTGCCCGGCCATGTCTCTCCACCCGGTTCCTTCGTCTTATTATTTTCGCTGCTGTTGCCCACCTTTTTTTGCCGCTGCGATTTCGTGCGGCGGCCGTGTTGGATGCGCGCGCACGAAGGGATGAAACTGTCCTTGGAGTTGCGTTTTTCAAGCGGTACGGGCAGGATCACGCCGAGGTGGGCTGTCTCGCCATTCACCGCGACTACCGGAAGGTGAGAGGTAACCTGTTCTAGAGAAAGAAACACATGTAGAGAGAGAGAGAGCGAGAGAGAGAGAGAGAGAGAGAGAGAGAGAGAGA